CCACCAAATTTGTATGTGTAACAAATATTCTTAATAACAAATTTCACTACATTTTTGACAAGCTAAGTGAAAGATCAACATACAGCAGACCAGGATTTTTCTCAACCCAATTCAAGTTCTCAATTCAACTTATTGAATTAATATAGATAAGCACAAGACACTAAATGTACGGAAAATAAGTTATTTTAAAACAGATTAATATATAGAAATAAGAAGTGCTGCAGGAACAGATTGCTTTCTTTGCTCTGATTTCTGACCAAGAGGCACTGGCTCATCCTGCAAGTTTTGTTATTGTCTTTCCAAATGATGCAGAAGTTTTGTACTTGGCTAACATAAATACAACTTTCCTTGTGCTGAAGCCTGCTGAAGACAATGCTCTTTGGAGTTCTTAATGCACAACAATTTTACAACAAAATTCCACCCAGTGTTTTGCAGGATCAAGGCTCCAGATCTGGAGTTTACTACTCAAGTACCACTTTGAGCACCAAAGAATTACCCATCAGACAAAAACYTGCTTATTATGTTCCTTTTTATCTAAAACAGAGTAAACTTGTAAAATTATGTTTTAATCCAAATGAGCTTAATTCTCCCATGTTCTGCAAATATGCATTTTTCCTGGGACTGTTTAATAGTAGCTGTTTCTACATATACAAACTACTTATTTTCCATTTTTTTGGAGTACAGTTTGTCATAGGTAAAATGACATCTATCCAATCTTCAAGAACACAACAAATTCTTCTATTTTTCTGTTGGATTGTGGATCCATATATTCAATATACTACTTACTTTTAATGAATTTCAATGAACAAATATAAGTTAAGGTTAATATACTTAATCCCACCCCCAAAAGATGTATTTATTTGTACCAATCAGCTCTTGTCCTGGTAAAGCTAAGTGAAGGCCTTTTGGTGATTCTTGAGGTGCCATCTAAGAAAATAAAAGAAAAAAAGGCATATAAATTTAATATCCTGATTTTTTGGTCTATCAAAAACRACATCAAAGACTCACTAGTAACCATGACTCATTATCTTCTCCCTATAATGCCAGAACCTGTACAGGAATATGTTCCAGCAGGACTAACACTTGAGACAAGGAATAGGAGTTTGGTTGAAGACCACAGTAAGAATTCTTCAAAGTTACCACTTTTACATATGTTGTTTTGCAAAGCTATTCTACAACCTYGACACTGTGTAGCCAGTTTCAAATTCTTCCCTAAATATAAGCATTTATACATGGAGATTGCTATATATCCTTGACAGTCTACGTCCTCTGGCAAATCCGGTAGGAAACAACAGCCATACACTATGTAACATCATTTTAGGTGAAAAAGATTAAAAGAAATGAAGTTAAACATTCTTTCACACTGCTGCTCTGCCACAATCCTCCATATTAAGTTATTTAGACTTTCTGTGTGAAGATCAACTCACGCAGCGTAAAACGAATGAAACTTCTTCCTAAATCACTTCCTATCACTGCTGTGACAGATCTGAGACACTATTGTGTATAATTTATACAGAGAASAAGTAGAAGAGGAGCAATGTGGACAGTACCAGAAAAATCTTTACCAGCAATCATTGTGTGGCCTATAGGTAAACAGGCATTGCATTATCATTAATGGGGACCGCAATTTCACAGACGTGAAAGGGCTGAGGAAGGAAAAGCAGCTTAAAAGCATATACAGGATAATAAATAATATTGAGTAACATGCAGATAAATCGATCTCAGCAGCTTCAACACAGCTTAAAAAAAAAAAAAAAAAAGCCTGAATAAATCCTGAAAGCCCGTTTTAGCATGGTTATGTTTTCCACAACACAAGCAAATTTGGTTAAGCCCTCTCCCACTCACTTTTAAAATCAATTCAACATATTTTCAAAATGCTGCAAGGGAGTTCACTTTATTCATCAATAAAAAAAACTAAAACTATAAGCTAAAAAAGCAGCTTCTTTGAAATATTAATTAATAACTTATAATGGAAGAGGAGAAATATGTTACCGCAATCCACTTTGGAATTCTTCTAGCATCTTCTTGTACTATCACATCCACCTGAACTGTTACTTTCTCTTGCATTTCCACATCATCAACATTGAGATTCTTAGAGGAGAAAAAAAAAAAAAACACAAAACAACACATAGAACTTTCACCCACTCAGATTTATCATGTTTCAAATCAGTCTTAGTTGCATAAAGATATCTGACTAGCATAAGTCTTAGCAATACATGTGTTCTGCTGGAAAATAAAATTCTGAGAAAGAGYTGTATGTGAAAACCTGTAATGGGAGATAACTAGCTAGTTTACTGATGCAGAAGAAAACTCTGCCTCTCAGCACCTACCATCAACCCCCCCAAAGTCTCTGTGATAATTACAGAAWGCTAGTAATTATGGCTAAAAGTACTTACACAATATTAGCACCCACCTACAAAGGGAATTTTCTTCATAATGCAGCTCTTCTTAGAAATTAAAAGCACTTGGGAATAAACAATAAACATCTTTCACAGTGAAACWCTTTCTGCCTTTCTGAATCAGTCCGTACCAGCATTTATCAAGATGATAATAGCAACATAGCATCGTATTAAGCAAGCAAGGAAAGCAAGGTCAGTTTTTGGTAATTGTCTTGGAGCAAGCAGAGCAGAGGAAAACGGTTTCAAACATTAAGTGCATATTCTACTCCACTCCCTCACTGCGGTCCTAATACACAGCCTAGTTTTGTTGAACACCTGCRGAAGATTACCGCCTGCTTCTGCTGTGGTAGCCACTACTTCAAAATCATGTTTTAATTTGTGTCCCTCTTTATTTTAGCTATTTTTATTTAGCTATTTATTTAGCTATTTTAGCTTTATTTTATTTTATTTTAGATAAACGTGTTTTTTCAAGTATTTGCACTTTCTGATTCACCTAGTTGCTCTCCTTCCACACGCACACGGACAAGATCCAGTGTAACGTTTTCCGGACGCRCTCGCCGCGCGCAGGGGTTACCTCGCGTCCCGTTCGGGACGGYCCCGCGCGCCAGGCCTAGGAGCGCGCTCAACATGGAGGCGGCAGAGCGCCTCCTGCTGGCGCCGCGCGCTCCCTTCCCGCAGGCACCCCATATCCCCTCGCCCCCGCGAACGGCAGCGGGAGCTTTTACCTGGAAGCGAATGGCTTCGAATTTTCTTCTGACCAAAACTACATCTGCATCGCTTTCTTCGCCTGCAGGTTTAAGATAAACACCAAACAAAACTGGATTTAGCTCCCCATACAGGCAGAAGTTTCCAAGAAATGTTTTTAAACAAGCCATTTTCATTTTACAGAACTGTGAAGTTCACCTGCAAACCATGGCTTACGAGCCTGCACTTTGGAGGTACAAAGAATAAAGATAAATCATCTCTAAGCAGCTAAAACGCACATGCTAAGCATTCCAGAAGGTAAAATATTTCCAAAGCATTACTCTAAGAACATTAATTCATGTTTCCTCCCAGTTCTTCCCTTCTACATTCCTAAATTATTCCAAAATAAGATCCTAAGCGGCAATGTCGGCTTCTTCCACCACAGTTAGTTTTGTTATTGCCAAGTCTGCCCTACAAGTGCCAAAGTGAGAGGCCAGGCAGGCTTGAGAATGCTCAAAACCAAATCCCAGGCTTCCAACTACATTCCCAAGCATTGTACGTGTGGTTATGCCAATGGGGCATCAGGGCATTCTTGGTGCTAGGTGCAGCCAGGTATTCCAGTTCATGGTCCTTCAATATCATAGACCGTCGGCCTGCAACTGAAGTCCTGACTTCTGAATTCCCTTGGCTCTTCCATATTTATCCAATTTAGKGCAGGGAGAAGGGAGAGGATGGAAGGAGAGCTAGTCTGAAAGGAGGAAGGGGCTGGAAAAAGGAAAAAAAACCACAAACACAAAAAAACCCTGCCACACTGCCTGAAAATCCTCATGGTACCTACATTACTGCCCATTTATACTATTCTTATCTCACTAAAAACAGAACGAAATTGTTTCCCAAGCTAAACTCCCCTTCCACTACTTTTCCTCTATCAGAGCAATCATTACCTAAAGCTCTGAGGGCTGCTGCAGCTCAGACAAGGGTATATGTGAAAAAATGCCATTGTTGTGGGAAACAACAGCCTGGCATCCTCTGGTGCAGCTGCTGAGCAATCCGGAGGAGCAGATGAAAACGTGCTCCTCTGCTTTCACGGTGTCCCTAACTCCACCAGAGTAACTCGGTGGGGGACTGACACCCAAATCTGACTGCCACTTTCTTCCCACATGGCGGATGGAAGATAAATTTGTAGTCACTTTATCTACAGGAATTCAAGAATACTAAAGCAATAGKAATTGTAAAGCAGGAAGCAGTAGGAATTGTAATGTTTTAATCTGCAACTCCTCTTTTTCTGTCATTTCTCTCTCTGGTAGTATCCGTCAAAAAACTGGGAGAATACTCAGTAAAATGATCAATAAGATGACCAGATTAGACCAGTAAATAAACAGGGTGTCTAAGTTGTAACAACTCTAGACAAAAAATCATCTTTACCAGCATATCTTAAAGTGCTTTTAAGGGCTAAAGGGAAAGTTATGAAAAACCTTTGTTCCTCAACTGCAGGAGCTGGAGGAAAGAAAAATGGATATTTACATTCTTCTCCTTGGAAAAATCCATCCTGTAATACATGAAGTTATTTCTCTGTAGCTGTATGTAAAACATTATCATTACTTAAAAGGCGAGTCATTCTTAAGTGATGATCATATTAGTAAGGGAGTTTTCATCAATGCTAAATTTTGACTTTGATGTGATCTTCTAAATTAGAATACACTTGGGTAGTATATAATTAAGATGCAAATTTCCAACTTGCTCTCCAAAGAAATTGATTTTTCTGGGTTTCTATTCTAGTAGATCCAAGGAACTTTCTAGGTATTACTCTACTTTTGTCAAGCTACTTCCTGGGAAAYCAAAAGTGGATCTAAACATTTTCCCTGTTAAGTGCAGACCAGTAATTATAATAATTGTTTAGAGGTGTTTTACTTTATTTACTTTATTTATTTGTACCTTATTTACTTCATTTATTGTTCAATAAATACTTATTTACTTATGTACTTATTTATTTATTTGTACCTGCAACTGATGCTATTTACATACTTTCACAACAAAAACACCATATAATAGCTGAAGGGAATAGTGCCTTCACTGAGAAATGTGACACATCCAGTACGATCACTGAAGAGCAAATAAATCTCCTAAAGTTTTAGCTAAAGCAGTTAAAAACGTTTTTGTTTTTTTTTGTTTTTCCCCATAGCAGTTAACCATTACATTAGCCACTTTCTCTAGTCTTTCCCTAGAGAATTCACAAGAAAAGGAGGAGTGGTAATCATATTACCCGTTAAGGACAGTCTGACTCATACTGTCATTTATCCCATGGTGGGTACAGAGGGGGGCTCTCCCCTTCCCCCTTCTCCAAACTTACAAAACAAAGCTACAGGCCCTTCCGAAATGTTTCCCATATTTCAGCATGATGAAAACTACTTATTTACAGTCTTTTCCAAAGCAAATGAAAAGTGAAACAAAAGCCCCACCTATATCAGATGTATCCACAGGAGTGTTCTCATAAGATACCTTAAAACACAGGAAAACTATTTTAATACATTGTAGCATATGCTATATTAATTTGTCCATAGCAGTTTTCTTCTCTTATTAAGTTCATCAAGTTTTGAGAGGAAAAAAAAAATTGCAATCCACAGACTGTGCCTAAATCACAACATCTTTACCATGTATATGTAGTTTTATATGTATATATAGTATATGTATATATGTATATATATGTATATACATATATGTATATATACATATGTATATGTATATATTAGATATAGTATATGCATGCTTTACCAAGCATATGTAGTTTTTTTTTTTCACATCCAATTACCTGGATGTGAGAATTTTTTTTTTTTTGACCAGTGCTTCTATATTTAGACAAATAAGCCCAGAAGAAAAGGTAGATATTATGTAACAAAAATGTAATTGTAAAAATAGTTGACAGATAAGTTTTAATCACCAGATCTTTATCAGTATGAACCAGGGATTTCCTTTTCCTGTTTTGAAGTACTGGGAAATTTATTAGTAGGCACTGTAAGCAATACTATATAATWTTTCAATGATCTTTTTGTCTGTTTTCTAGAACTTTTGACAGCTACACAAACTTATTGATATGAATAAGGAGATATGGCACAGGATCATCTAATTTTAATTAATTTCTTTGCTATTAGGCTATGACTACRTAGGTTTGTTTTCTCTAAAGAGACTCATAGAAGTGCTCCCTACCTTATGTACTTTTGAGCTCTCATCTTCAAAACCACTGCTCTGTTGTTTTGGTATTTCTTGGCATATGTAGGAAGAAAGAAATACTTATTTTAGAATTTGCTAGGCTGCAGATTATATACATAGGTGAATAATTTTTATATATATATATATAAAATATTTTATTTGAATATATTTTTTTTCTTACTTATTCTGGAAAAATTTAACCAACATAAAAAAATCCCATACATAGCATTGAACTGAAGAATAGAAAATTGAACATTCAAGCCAAAAGAAAAATCTCTGCCTTCTTTTATAGAGAGCTTCACCCAAAAACTTGATTTTTTTCTGTTTATTTCATTAGAACCCAAAGAAATATAGTGTGTAAAAAGCAGTCTAAATTCCATATCCACTTAAAAATTAATAACTATATGTCTCCTTTTAGCATTTCAATTTGTACCTTGTTCTCCTTAGCTATTGCAGCACTAGAAGCACTCAAGCTGATTAAGTTAAAAAAAAAAAAAGAGAGAAGAAGCATTTGTCTTCRAAAAGACTTCTGTAAGCTTATATTTGGCAGTTAAACTCCAAATTAGATAAGATAGCATTGCTACTGAAGCTACTGTCTGAAAAGTTACAGCGCTGAAGTGTCTCTTTGTTRGACTGAAGAGGATCTATAAAACACTGGTATAACACCATGAGTATGCATAAAATGCATATAGTTACACTATACATATAAAAACTATTGCCTACATCTATTGTTAATAGTCTTTAAGTTACAGAAATTCGAGTTTCCCATAAAAGAAGGATTTAAATCTTCAAACGGACTCTACTGGTACTGTAGTGGTACTTACTACAACGGAGTGCTTGCCATACAGTTAGACTTAAATAAATGTGTTTCACCAGATATGCTTAATATAGTTGTGACTGTCAGTAAAGAAGTTTCTGCCCAAAGGCAGAATTGGTTGTTCCTGCTTTTGTGTATCTTTGTCTCCAAATATATTCATGTGAAATATCAGTCGGGATTTTTTTCTGTTAAACGGTGAAAAAAATTTTGATCCTATCTAACTCAGGCACATAGATACTACTTCCTCCTGTAAATACTTTCAGGGATTTAATGATGCCAAGCATACAGCTAAGGAGTTCCAGTTTTTGAAGGATGTTGGAGAGTATACAGAAAGTGACCTGAAGATGCCTATTCCTTCATCTGTAATAACTATACCTAACATAGCCCTAGGAGAAACCTAATCTGTTTTTAAGAATAACTCTGTAGCCTCTTTAATAAATATATGTCAGAGCTTCCTTATGCTTATAACTGGAAAGTTTTTTCTATATCTGACCTAAAGGCCACATTCTTTCTTTTTCTTTTTTTTTTCTCCCCTCCTCTCTGTTTTCTCCTCTCTCTCATTTTTTCTTCTTTCCTTTTCTTGCCTCACACAGGCACCATCATCTGCACGTCTGCCAATTTTTTCTTCTTCTGATTCACTCCAAGAAGCCAAGACACCATCCAAAGCACCAAATATTTCACCAGAGGCATTATCACTGCTAAGCAGCAAAGAGAAATCACACTGCATGTCTTATAAACCGCATCAGTTATGCACTCTGCCTATCTTCTGGTGCCAAGCGTGCTATTTTCACAACAGTCTTGCTGTATTAGCCTTCATTCTCTTCCTTCTGTGGATCATTCCTACACAAACCTATTACTTGGAATTTGTCTTCACAAAGTTACATAAGATTTTGTCCTTTTTTTTTGTTGCTTTGTTTTTCTTCCGATCCTCCAATTTGTCAGCAGGATACCTTTCAGAGCGGCCCTTCCCACTTGGTATTATGTGCAAGTTAATCAACAATATTCCCTTTATTATTTACTTATTTGAAATACAGACTGATCATGTGCTCAGGACAGTCCTGAAAAATCTCACACCTCCCTCAGTTTGAGCACAGGCCACTGATAACTGTGCTAAGCTAAGCACAGCGTGCCAACTGTTGGCAAATCTGCCTGAAGAAGTTCYACCTAGACTTATTTTCCTAGCTAGCTGACAAGAACATGATACGCAGCAGATATCAGCAGACACATACCCACATAAGAGGAGGAGTAGGACACCAGGCTATGATGCAACTCCTATATACAACATTAACTATGAATATTATATAATCAGCAGRATCAGGCTTCAGCTCAGAAATTTCTCGAGACAGGAATTGATCGTGGTTATTTGGCAGATAAAAACTACGTTAATGCTTCATTAAGAAAGTATTACCAATGTATTCTTAGAAGCTGAATAATTTTTTTTACAACTTTTCTAATCTGAGAATAAAGAAAAACACAAAATCTTACTCATTTCCCATTCAGATTCCCATCCCCATCCCTACAGAGAAAGATCTACGAAACACCAGAGAACATTTGCTTTAAAAATTTTTCTAGTCAATAAAAGGAAGAATTTTAACTGGAAAATTGATGAGAAATTTTGCTCTTTGTGGAATTTGAAATTTAACATCCTACGTTCTCCTGTGTTCCATGTAAAAACGATACTCAAAGAACTGTCAYTTAACCCACTCAGACTTAATAAGGATATTAGACAATTTCCCCAAAGCAAACTTGCAAATATTGTTCAAAYGAACAGCTAGGAAAAAAAATAATAAAAAACAGAATTGGAAATTGAATAACTRAAAACCAGTTATATATGCAAAGGGTATATATGTTCATTACATAAATATCTGAGTCTTGCAAAGTTACTTTAAATGTTAAGGATGAACATAAGTCTGAGCGACTCAACYGGCAGCACATACATCAAGATAATCTAAGAGAAAAGAAATGGGTCAGATTTCCATATTTACTTTTGCTTCAAATGAAAAAAAGTCCCCACAAGAAATTATTTGCATGAACTGAACATGACAAGGAGATTCTATCTCCTRCCGTACATGTAAATATGCATGGATAGATGAAAAACTGCCAGTGTTGTGAGTTTTTCCTATTTATATCTGTTAACACTCCCCCTATTCCTCCTTCTTCAATACTGAAGTTAAATAATTCTTTTCCTGGTAGCTAAGAGCATAATTAAGGACTAAAGGCCTTTCTCCCACCTAGCCCCAATTTTCATTCAATTTAAGCAGACCTAACTTACGAAGTTTTCTCCTAATTTTCTTATCTATAATGCCTAACAATAGATTAAAAAAATGATTATATCAAGGCTTACAGTATTAAAGAAATCCCACGAAACAAGTCCCTTCAACAGATGCTTCCAAGCCACTCAGACCTTAGGTCAAAACCCAAAGATGAATGATAGCAAAAAAAAGACAGACTTAGGCCTAAGGCTTCAAATACTTAAAATAAATAAATAAATAAAAATTAATTGCTTAGAAACTATTTCTTTCTGAGTTTCACCACAGGTCTTGCTCAGTGATTTTGCTGCTACTCAATCCTGCGACCTCTGAAGATTAAGAAGCATCAGAGTTAAACTTGAATTGCAGTCTTAATTTGACTTCACACAATGATACTCTGATGAAGTAACTGTATGCCACTTCTAGTACAGCTAGTCTCATTCAGAACACACAAGGATCACTAAATTTTAGGAGACAGCTTTTCTACCTTGTTGATTTTCCAATATGCACACTTTTCAAATATGGACACTTCTTTAGGTATTTTTTAAAAGCTAGAAAATTYCAAATCATTGCACACAGCAATATAAACAGCGCTGAAATTTTGATTCATTTAACATCTCACAAATGTTATAAGCATAATAACAAAAAGCTATCTGTGTAACTGATAAGAGGAGATTATTTTAATCAACTTATGCTGATAGCAACAATAATTACATCCATTTATTCCTTTTAATTACTTGTAATTACATTTTAGAATCCTTAAAAAGATAAGCATTAATTGTGATTATCTGGAAGAGTTTAATTTAAAAACAAGACATAATCTATTCAACCAAGATCCTTTTGGATAAGATCTTTGATAGCACTTTTTTTTCCCCTCTCAAAAGCACTTTACCTGCATCCTCTCGACTTTTGACAGAACACTGCAATTAAAAACAGAAAAAAAAAAAAAGAAGAATCTTAAAATAGTAATGTTATTTTGAATGACTTTGCTTACTTTGCCTTATTTTACAATGAGGCACTTCCTAAGTAATCATTCAATCTTCAGCTGATTCTCTGAATTCAGCTGAATCTCAAAGCCTGACTTACAAAGCAACAAATACGTGGTAAAGCCTACCTGAAGATTCATTTTGATTTACATCTTGCCATGTTGCTGTCAATAAAAAAAATCACTAAAAGCACTTAAGTTATAGCTACCGTGCCACAAATGACAGGCTAACACACACACACAAATTCACTCCTGCTCTCCATGCTCTCATTCAGTGGGCTTCAGAATAGCACCTGTGCTCTTCAGCAAATTCACTGTTTCCTTCACATGGAGGAGTTTAAGAAAGAAGATGTGTGTTATTACTTCAGTTTTGATAACTCATTCTATACTACTATATTTCAAGGTGAGCAATGTGTGCATGCTATATTTTAAAACACACAAAAAGGATGCACACAAATGACTCCATGTTGACTAATGCTGTGTGTGTCAAAAGGATCAGATATGGAAACAGCAAAATAAACAAGATATATTACTGCATAGTATGCACTTATTAGAAGCAATATCACCTTTGGCACYTGGCACTATGTGATTCACTTTGAAAAGAAGCACCTGCTTGTTGACCTTCGAATGAGGACATACAGAGAGCAGGCCCAACACACTAGTGGCTTTAGCCTGATATAGACACTGTCTGCTGAGACGGATACTTGAGCATCTAGCACTGTTTTACAGGACTAATAGTACCAATAATATAATAATACAGTAATAAGATCTCCTGTAAATATTATGTGAGATGGAAAGATTAGAATATATTCCTATATATACACACACATAGACATGTAAAAATGTTTGGTTTACTTTTGTAGGCCTATATTATGAGATACCTTAGGTATTTTCTTCCTCCATTTTTTAAGGCTTTTGATTGACACTTTCCCCCATTGTTTTGGTCCTAGAAAACACAAGAAAGGTTAAAGCAAATATAGCTTTTTGTATAACAATATTAGTCTATGGTGAGCAATGTAGCACAATGCCTAACACACAGGAAAAAAGTAATACCTAACAACAAAGCACAATTGAATCTAAACAACCATCCAAACAACTCTTAAATATTTACAGGAATACAGAAGAACAGTAAATATGTTAATAGAATAAGTGAACAGAAGTTACTAAAGCTAACGCATAACCAAATCTCAACAAATCTAAGACTATTACAATACTGTATATATTTATTTCTGTGTAAATACATACACACCACATAACATATGCAGTAATTATAAAATGCAAACTTACCAGTCTGATAAAGCTCTTAGAAAGTAAACAATATTTAGTGTAATGTTTATATGGCACTCAACAGTAAGGTACTACTTTGAGTGTATGCCCAATATGCTCTTTTTTTTAAACAATTTTAATTTATTTATCATAATCTTTGCTGAAGTGTGGATAAAAACTTGCCGAGCACTTYATCTCCCAGAAACATCACCCAGCCACTAAGTCACAATTCCCGTTAAAACTTAGAGCAAACTACTCCAGGATAACAGCTTTCGCAGTAAGATAATAAGATAATAACATGCATTATTGACACGGCAGAATGCGGTATAGATTTCTGCCAGCCACATGAATGTTCAGTGTAATATTAAAGAAGGGACTGTCTAGTCATTCCACCCTGACATTGGACACACTAGAAATTTATCGAAACACATTTTCCAGGTATCTATACGCACGTGTCAAAGCTGACACATGAAATCAGGCAGCCGAGCACACACAAGCCAGCACTGGTTACAATCAGACAGCACGTGAGTGTCAATAGCTGCACCCTTCAGCAAGGCTAAGCACACAGCATGTAAACATCGAAACCTTAAGCAGTTCTTACCATCAGGTGTATCATAAGTGAGAGTTTCCATGGAAACAAGTATATCATCTTCAAAAGGATGATTATACTAAACAAGAAGGACCATTAAAGATAAGACTAGGGGGTCAAAACAGCGGTTTCATGCATTTTAGGTGTTTTTACAACGGGATGCAAGCCGCACGTGCTAAACATGGGGGTAGCCAGCGCGGCTCAGGCAAGCAGCAAGGGGAACCGAGGCGTCGCTTTGGGGCATCCCCTGGAGCCGGCAGGCCCAGGCCTCCGTGMGGGAAGCGAGGGGCCTGGCGGCGCCGCAGGGCCCGGAGCTGCGCCGGGCAGCGGCCGCGCGGCTGGAAGCCCTGGCCGCGGGCGGGCGGCACGAGCTGCTTCCCCCCTCAACGGCCGCCGCTCAACGGCCGCCGCTCAACGGCCGCCGCCCAACGGCCGCCGCCCAACCCTCACCCGCTCCGCGATGCGGATCATGGCGGCCACGAAGCGGGCATTGCTCTGCCGCAGCCTCTCTTCCAGGTCGAAGGCCATGGCGCGCGAGCCGCCCTGCCCTGCCTGCCCGCCGGCCCGGGCCCGGGCCCCGCTCGGCGGCCGCAACRCCTCCCTCCCCGCCGCCACTCGCGCGAATTCAAACTGCGCGCCGCCTTCCTGCGGCCGCCGCTCGCCGAGCTCCGATTGGAGCGCGGATGCGTCACTCCGGGCGTCGCAGCCTATCAGAGCCCACAAGAGCCAGCCTCTCCTCTTCTGATAGGACTCTGCAACTCCCAAGGCCCACCTCCTCCCGCTCTCCGGCTGCCTCAAAATCTCCCYATTGGCTCCTGAGCTCAGCACGAATTGGCCATAGGCAGGACACAAAGTCGCTCTTCTACCTAGCAACAGTGACGCACCGCGAGTTCCTATTGGGCGCGGGATCAGCGCGAGAGGCCATTGGCCACGGGCGGCATTGACCACAGCGCAGTTACGGCCTTTGGGCTGGGCGAGGTTAAGTCGCGTAATTTGGCAAAGTTAATTTTAGGTACCGTATACGTAACCSTAGCGTAACGGCGCGACGCCATTCTGTTATGTGCGGGCCACTAAAGCATCTCCTGCGCCAGACGCCTCCATACAGTGACTTGACAACAGCTTATCTGAAGTCAAAGCAGTCCACAGAAAGGCTTTGAGTTTACAGGACAGATGGTTTTGGCGATTCCCACTCCTAAAGTTTCTTCTGCAGTTTCTCTGCACACCCTATTTACCTTTCCTCTTGGGCCAAAGTTCTGCCTTTCATCTATTGCTCCCTTAGCCGCAAGGTTGTGTCTGCCCAACGCTCTTTTTGTCCAGGCTCCTTCCACTGAAATCCCGCATATCATTYCCCCTTCCTTTTACTGGAAAATCTATGAACTAGATTTCACCCCTGCCTTTGTCACTGCCTTCCTAGGCAGATGAATGTAGGACAAATAATCTAAAATCCAGAAGTTCACTGATGGTCGTCTAGCTGCTTATTCTTTCTTTTATGGATTTCTTTTCTTTGAAGGGATTTGCAGAAGCGCTCAGCACTTTCTGTTGCTGTTCGCTTGGCTGGGAGCTATGTTTTGAAAATATAAAAGCTCATATATACCTATTAAAATAATACTAATAAAAAAAAGCTAACTACTTTTAACTGCTTTGCAAAATCATGTTCTATATATCTCAGGTTTGGATGCTGAAATCAGTTGACACTCAACAGTTTGACTGTTGACAAGCCTTTTTTTTTCTTTCTTTCCCTCTAGGTAAGACAGACTCCTACTGCTTGCAGTCTCTGCATTACTGGAAAAATAAATTCTGCAATATTTTCAAAATGTCCAATTTTTGGGGTAGGCCAGAACAGTTAGGAAGCTTCTGAGCAATGAAGTCAATCTGTATTCAGGGCAAGCTTTAGATGATGAGTAAATAAGAGCTGAAATCCCACATTTAATGAGAGAGATAATAGGTAGTGTTGGAAAACCAACTAAATTAATTTTAAACAGTTCTAGTGCTGTGGGGGAAAAAAAACAAAAACATCACAACATCTCTGATACTTCGCTTGGAGAGCTGTGCACAGCCCTTAGCTGGGGACCAGTGTCTACCACCGCTGTGTGCAAGGCAGCAGCGAGAAGCCGTGTCTCAGCTGGGGGCTTCGTGCTTAAGCTTAGACTTGGGTAAATACTTTCTGAGAGCTGTTTGCTGTGCTCAGGGCTCTGCTTGGGTCTGCTGCCTGATCCCACGTGTGTGCTTAGGTGCTTTGTGGCCTTCGTGGCGGGATTTTGAGATCCTGCGGCACTGATCTGATAATTAAAAGATTGAAATACTGTGCACACTCGGGATCGGATTAATTTCTTTCCTCTGACATTCCCTGACTCAGAGGTTATTCGCTTTACAACCCTGATGTCTTCTAATTTTGCTAGAATATAATTTTATACTAAAAATAATAGAAAGAATAGCCCCAGACTTATTTCATATTTGAGGTAATTGCTAACGTAGGGAAAATAAGGGTATGTTGTTGTTGTTGTTGTTGTTATTTCAGCTTATTGGCGGAAGATCAGTCAGTCAGCACAGTCTATTCAGTAGCTAATTTCGGCTGCTTTCCATTCATAATGCACTTCAGAAGAGTGACAGGAGCATTCAATTGCAAAGAATTTCTTCCTACACGCCATGTGAGAAAATGAGAGTGGCATCGAGCAGGTGCATACCAATTTTTTTCCCAGACCGGTAGTAACTGATATGCTTAATAAGATGTAACCAGAAATTTCAACCTCTGTGACCTTAGGGATCACAAGGTCAAGAAATAATAGGTAAAGCTGTTGCCTGGAGAGCATGATTGTGCAGGCTGCCAAGGCAAGAAGTGTCTCAAAACCGTAAACGAGCAAGAAAAAGGAAGGAAGAGCAATGATGTTAAAACTTTGTTTGGGAAATTCCCTATAAGAAACAGAGCAGACATTTGTGTAACTGGGAAATGTCCAGGCATGTCTTTGTGTTCCTTGGTGCTTTCCTACGTGCCTGCTGCTCGCCTCCCCTTCTTACTGAGATTGCAGATTAATGGGGGCTGTCCATTTGCCCTGGGTTTATGCAGCACAGGGAAACAGAGTGCTCTTCTTTAGGCTCTGCATCAATAATGATACTTAATAAATCATGAAAACTGTTTCTAAACCCACGAGTAAACTGAGGATTGGCAGAAGTGATTTGCAGGGAGTGGAGAGACAGTCCTCACTGGAGTTGCAGTGGTTGGGCTGGAGACATAAAATTGTTCCATGAAAATCACAGGTCTTGGGCAGTATCAATAGAGAGGTGAAAATGTCCCGACCTCTGAAGCTTTGCACTTAAGTAGGCTCTCACTCCTGCTTTTCCACAGGGAAAGGGCATAGTTCGTGCCAGCTGGAGATTTCCTATAGTAAGAAGACCACTGGGAATTTTTTAAGATTACATAAACTTAGAACACTGTCMTTTTTGCTGTAAAAGAATATGTTACTATTGAACATGATGCAGACACACAGACATTTCAACAAAAAAACAAACGTCCCTTAGAAGCTCTTCTGCTCTTGTGTGCAAGCTTCACCTCTTCTGCAATTCTGTCGAATAGATTTGTGCAGAAATGTTTGACAAAAGATTTAACTTCCCTGTAATTTATTTGGCTTGTAGAAGAATAATTTGCAGGCTTGAGTTGTACGTGCCATTGCTCACCCTGTGGTACACTGCCATATGTAACTCTTAACTCGTGATTCTTCCATCACTTCCCATATTCTCTCTAGCTCATCAATTAGCCGGGCCTCAAGCTGTATTTTATCCCTTTAATCTTTTTATCTTTTCTTTTTATAAATCAAAATATCCATGCTAAGAAATCTCTTTGTTTTTTCATTTTCTTCTCTGAACTCTCTCCAGTCAGTCAATATATTTTAGYATTTAAGTATCTGAAACAGTAAATCATTTCTGAACACATCCTCTGAAGAACAGGGGTTTATACAGCTATTCTCTGTAAATGTTGATTTTTCAGATACAGGAAAAACATCATATTGACTATTTAAATGGGAAACTCATGGCTCTTAAGTATATTTCCTTAGACATACTAATCTCATTCATTGTACAGAGGAGTATAAAGATGTAAAATATTTGTGCTTTCCCAGAAGCTCTCGCACAGCTCAGCTTGTGCCAAGACATAATACAACTAGTGAATATAATTAGACATTTCAGATATTGTTAAGAAAACACCTCACTGCAGAACTGTGGAGCTGAGATTGGCTATAGGCATGGAGAGGTACTGGCTGCCCATGCAAAGCGGTGTGAACAACCCAGAATCAAACACAGTAAACTAATCTGCTCAAGGCAACTGCCTTAGCAGGCATTGTATTCCTGGGCCTCTGCAAGGAGCAGGGCTTTCCCTCCTCCCCTTGAAGCAGAATGGTATTTTACTCCCCCTTACTCACCCAACTCTATCCAGAGCCAACTTATTTTCTCCTTTTATCCTCTGTGCAAGCAGGGTTATGGAGTGTTTGGGTGTGTTCAATTATGATGAAGATTGAAAACAGTTGTGTTTTAAGAGAGATGCTCACGGGGGACTGCCTTCTGTGAAGAAAATAATTTAAGTTGGCTATGGGCTTATATGGAAAAAAACTCAAGGAGCTTCTTGCCCGTCAAGCTCTATTCTTTGCTGAGCTCCCAAACACATTATAGTCTAAAAGGCTGCAAATCCTGGCTCCCACTTTCTGTGAAGGCTGTTCCCTGCCTCTGTTGTTCAAGAGCATATTTCATTTGGTGAGGGAGGAATTTAATCAGTTCCAGTCTAATTAGTCCTCTGCCAGGTTGGGGCCCTGGGCGTTAGTGGCTTCTTGCTATTTTCAGTTCTTGCCTGGTTACATCTAAAATCATCTGAAGACTGAAATATTTGCTGCTGTAAGCTCAATTTTGAAGGCAGGTCCTGAGTTAAGCTACTATGCATGAGAAGAGGAGAGAAGCAATTACTGGAGAGCAACCATTACCCTGAAACAACCAGGCTTCTTTTCCACCACATCTGGAAATGGAGAATGGAGAACAAAAATCCCTCTTTATCATTGAGGAATCCGGGCACAAAGCCTACAAATCACACCTAGCAGGACTGTCCTGCCATTAAAGCACTGTATGAGAATTTCCTTGAAAAGGAGTGGGCGATTTTTGCCCCTTTCAGTATCCCCTTTCCCTAATTTCTCAGCATCAGCAAACACTGTCTGGACTGACCTTTCCACCAAACCCTGTGCTCACGTGGAATGTTGTAGAGGGAGCTACTTCTTGGATAGTCGAATGACTGAATGTTGCCGGTGTCCTGAGGGAATGCCACCACTCAGCCATCCACCGTGCCTCTCTTGAAGATAGATCTCAAACTGTGCCACAAAACATGGTAGGAATTGTAACTGTCTTTGCTAGGTAGGAAACCTGAGGCGAGGAGCTGAGTGATTGGCCCAAGGTTAAGCACAGACTGTTGGCAAAGCAGGCCTATCCTAAAGTCTTGTCTAGCATCCTGCAGCAGTAGGTAACATCCTATAGTAGGATCCTATAGTAGGATGTTA